GGCTCTTTTCCTTTTCATTATTTCTGTCATACTTTTAGGCGCCTGTGAGGTAATACATAAAAATAAAGGAAATACCTGGACATTGGTAGTACGATTCGATTTGGTTTTATCATCACTATCAGCTGATATTTCGGGTTCAACGATTAATGTTTCGTTTTGGCAGACAGAAAAAGATTAGGCACGACAGAACTACTAGCATGCCTTGGACTCAAAATTTGCTCTTTAATTTTTTTGAGGAGGAAGGGAGAATGTGAGTGGAAGAGGTTTTTTCGCAGCGCTCAGCTGATTTGTTTGGCATAAAAACAATAATAAATCGTGCCTGTGAATGTGGGAGAAGTGTAGTTCAGCTCGCACAGTTTCACTCGAGAATGCCCTATAGAATGAGTACTTTTGAGTGGGAAGTACTCAGAGTCAATGCGCTGGCGTGCTCTCCGCTCACTCAGAATCGGACTCTCTCGCGGGCATCGCTCTCTTCTGTTTTGGCGTCGCGCCGCTGGCGCTTTGAAAAAAGCCTTCGCTTTCGAATTTCCACTCATTCGTCTCTCAAATTTCGCAGCGCTCACTTCACTTTTTCCGTGCACTGCTCCCCGAAAAAATATATAAAAAATTATAACTTGAACCGAAAAAAACAGAGAGGCGCACTAAGTGAAAAAAAAAGAAAAAAACTATTAACTAAACTCTGCCGCCGCCGCCGTTGCTATCTCGCTCGCACCTCTCCGATCGCCGCGCCGTGCTTAAAAACAATCGCCGATTGACGTTTTGTTTTACTTCGCCAGCTGCCGTCGAGTTGAGTCGAAGTGCAAAAAAGTTGAATAAAATGCTAAATAACACAAACTAAAAAATCGGAACTGTAAATATTCTAGAAATTAACCACTCAAAAAAGCAGTAAAACGCGCTGAACAACCGAAGTTCAAAAGGTAAAGGATCAACGAGAAGCAAAGTTAATAAATTACATAAAAAGCCTAAAGTTTTTTTGTACACCTTGTGAAGCTCGTGAAAAATAATAAAAAGTCAGCTGAAAAATAAAACAAACCGAAAAAAAAAACATAAAAAATTGACAAAAATAAACTTAATCACACACACAAGCGGGGGACTATATACACATTATAAAAAACATATAATTGCTATTTTAATCAGCCGCTGCCTGTGTGTGTGTGTGTAGCGATTATCAAAATCTGAAGCGATCCAGAATAAAAATAAAAATAAAATTAGCATATAAAAAAATCACAAAAAAACAAGAAACTCATTAGAAAAGTGTGCAAATGTTTGTTACACGCGAAGCAGAGAAAAGCGCCCGAAAAATTAATAAACGATCACGGAAAATAAGAATATAAAAAGTAAATTCGAATAAAAGCGACAAAGTTTTACACAACACTCGTTCCTAACCTGTAAATCCTCAGCTGCTGCGCTGCAACTGCGACGCCGACTGCAGCAAATTGCATTCTGCGTGCATTGTCCAAAAAACGAAAAAGAAAAAGACTTGCTCTCCCTCTCTTCGCTCTCTTTCTTCGCCTCGCTTTTCGCCACATTGCACTTGCAAATTTGCATTACATAAATTCGCTGAGCATTTGCATTTGTTTATTAAACTTTAATGGGCTATTTTGTGACCAAGAGTGCGTGTAATTAAAGGGATATATCATTTTATTTTCTGCCGCAATCGATTACACAACTCTCAGTAAACATAAAACACAATTCTCGATTCTCCACTCGTTTGATCTCTTCTTTTTTACTGTCTTCTTCGTTCATTCAATTTACTGCACACACACCATCACAGACAATTACTGCTATTTGAGGGGCTCTGCCACAAAAGAAGGGGGCGCGGCAGGGGATACCCGTTATTGCCCTGCAATTGAAAGAGGAGAAAAAAAAAAAAAGAAAGAAAAGGAGAGCGAATTTACAGCCTCTCGCTTTTCTGGCAATTTGTGTTTGTTGTCGTCCGCTTGTTTTGTTCCTCTCTTTTTATGGTCGCCGATTCCTCGTACCTCATCCTCCTCGGCTTCTCTGTTTCCGTTCTTCGACGCAATTTGTTACACAATAAGAAAATGTGTTTGGTTGCATCGAAACTAGAAATAAGGATTTCTAAAGGAGAGATTTTAGATGGTGATTCATCATTTCTTCTTCCTGAAAGGAACTTGGGAATAAAGATAAACTCCCGAAAATTATTTAAATTCCATTTGAAAATTGGAGATTTCTAAAACAGGAACCTCCCGAATAGTTCCCTTTGCCATTGTTACGCTTTATTTGTTTTATTTTTTGCTCAACTGCCGCTTGTTTAGTTGCGCTGGGTAATTAATTTGTGCATTTGCGAAAATCGTGGGGAAAAGGGGCGCGGCAAAACATCAGGCGATCGAGCAGCGCTGCTGACTTCGCACTTGGAAGTTCCGTACTCGAAAATCCATCAGAACACTTGAAGATTTCAGGTTCCACGTTCCACATTCTCACTCGAGTTGCACAGTTCAAGAGTTGAGAGGAAAGATCGCGGGTGCAGTTTCTATCTGTATCGCTTATCAGTCGCTGCAGTCATTCCTTCTCGAACATTTCACCAACTGATCGGCACTTTACGCCGCCTGAAGTGTTACAGGCAGACAGCAGCGGTCGCAATAATAGCACATTCCTCCAGTAGCTTATGGTAGAAGGTGCTTGTCATATATGAGAATGGTGCTCCTGCTTAGATTCCACATAAAATTACATACCTCGAACTATTGCAATCAATTGTTTAAAAGTAATAATTAAATATTTGTTTTCAACATTTTCATTCAAGTACATTGCTTCTTCTTTACTAGAGATGTTTCATAAGATATCATTGATTACTTCATGACACCCTAATCACTGTTTTCAAGTCCCTAGGTGTATTTCTGAGCACTTTAGATTAACTAATATATTAGTCTGCCGAAAATAGCCTCGTTCCAACGGGTTTCTAATGACCTTTCTCAAAATGAATGGCCGCATTTGTTGGTGCTATCATTTCAACCGTAGCTGTACGTATTTTCGGGGGTTTTAATTAATAACGTGATGTAAGCCTCCCTCTGGAAAAGGGGACCAATCCACCGGTTACGATCGTCGGTTCTAACTGGTTGCAACTGGCCCCAACAATTGGAGAGCCCCACAATGAAGATGAAGCAATTATTTAAGTGTAGTAGTAATGTGTGGTCTGTAGTAGTTGTAAATATATCTATATCGGCAGGGAAGGTTGTATCTTTTGTTGTCCACTCAGTGCCTTCCGGTTTTACGGTGGCCAGATGGGTGGGTGGGTGTGTTTTCCATGGCCATGTATTCTGCGTACATTTCTCAATCGTTCTAATCAATCGATGAACTAAATTGCGCAACCCAAAAGTCGTGTGACATTGAGCCCCTTTTACGCCCCCAAAAGTGGGCTGGTCACCTTTGAAGGAATTGTAGATCTTCGATTGGCCAAAAGTGGACAAACGACAGAAGACACTACACTTCAATGTCGAGCTGCCCCCATAACTACTTCTCGAACGACGTACTTCTACTATTTCACCAGAGGGACGAGCCCCCAAAAAATCGGTTTGCCTGTGTTGCTGTTGTTGCCTCCTCAACCACTGGAAATTATAAATAATACGTAGCTGTTTGTTTTGGCGCTGGGGCTGGTGATATTCCGCCTCATCATGTCCAGCACTCGAGGACGGGGCACAAATATAGCTATCGCGGTATCGTGCGATGGCGCCTTTATCGCCAGATCAGTCCCAACACGCATTCCACGGGGGTTTCACGGGGGCCCCACGGGGGCTTCACGCGGCCAGCGCTTGACTCTCAGCCACTCCGTGCATGCACAGTTTTACGGCCGTTTAACGTAGGCAGTCCGGCCGGAGACGCCGTGCCGCAGATCAGGCTGAGTCGGCCGATCGCGCGTATGCCGTAGTCGTATCTTATCGGGGGAGAGCTAAAAAAGGTTCCTGACTGGTACTGAGACATCATACAGCCAGTCCCGGTTGCCGGGTTCTCTCCAGATTTCTGGGGTTCTAGGTTCTGGGTTTCAGCTCCATCGGATTACTTATTACTGATTACACCGTATAGAGCACGTCGCTTATCAATCTGGGTCTGGTCCCGCTGTTGTTCTTGTCACTTTGCCTTGTTGTGGGACACACCCACCTAGTTCCAATGCTATCTATCACGGCTGAAAATGGCATTATGAACGATGCCCAGCCGTAGTTTTTGATTTCGCTCGGATAATTGATAAGGCGTAGGTGGTGATTCTAAAAAATCGGTCTGGCATTGGGGAAACGTGACTTATCGCCGGGCGAAAATTTTCCAATGGCAGTTGTGAAATCTAGGAAACCGCCCAGAAGTGGCTAGCTTGGAGTAGGAATGGTCGGAGATCACGTTTGACCTGTAATAAAGGTGCACAGAAAATAGTTGTTTTTCTGTTAAGGTTTCATGATTAATTTGACAATAATTTCGGATTACAAAGTTAAACTACTTACAAAAGTAATTTAATCTATAAAAAAGTTGTAGAAATTATATTTTTAAAACAAGTCTAGAACTTAAATAGAAAACCAATTTGCTGATAAATTCTATAATTTATAAAGACTCACTAAAATCAAAGTACAGGCAACAGGTGAACACTCTTATCGAAAGCAGGCAGTGATAAGTGATATTAAGCTTTGTATAAAACGATATTGTTTTACTTTCCGCGTACTCGGGCGAGTGGAAGGTGAATTGCTAGTTTACTGAGGAAATTCCGGCTCAATTCGGCTCATTAGGGGACCCGTTCAGTTAATTAAGTTCGGTTAATTGGTATTTACTAACCCAGAGTGGCGAGCAGTTTTGGCAAGACAGCTGCCTCGAGAGAGAGAGGCAGAGACTCTCTCTTTGAGAAAGATACAATGTATGCAATTGTTGAGATACTTTCGAACGAATCCCGCGAATCGCTTTTCTCGCCGTGGTGTAACAAACGAGTGCAACGCGAATAAGTTACCGCAACTAAGCATTTCAATTAAACCAATCCGACACGCGCTTTGTGCATCTTGATCTTGCAGTAATCTTGAGAATAAACATGAGATATACTCACTCGCTCAACAAACGGCGGCAAGTGAGCAAAAGGAACACCACCACCGACCAGCTGAAATCGAGGAGGAGCCACCAAAAGCAACAGCTCCAGAAATAATCCCGTTGGAGACCAAGGAAACAGGAACCAAGCCAATTCCCATAGAGATTGAGGATAAGGTTGAGGCTATCGACATCAAGGAAAAAGAGAAAATCAACGAGGAAATACCTTTGGAACTACCAGAGACCAAGATAATCCCACCAGTAACTGCAACTGCTACGGCTGATCAGATAAAGCAGCTCCCCGAGAGCACTCCCTTCAAGCAGATCCTCCAGGCGGAGTTGCTGATCAAGCGGGAGAACCACTCGCCAGGTCCGCGCACTATCACCGCCCAGCTGTTTAGCTGCAATAGCAGCGGCCTGCGACCCGAGGAGAAGCGTCCCAAGTCGGTGACCGCTTCGGTCTTCCGCCCGAGTCCCGCTCCACCGTTGACCCCACCGCCGGCGGTCCTCTGCAAAAAGACTTCGCTTAGCGTGGAGCCCACTCTGCCGCCCACAACCACCGCCACGGCAGCCATAATCTCGTCGAGCAATCAGCAGCTGCAGATTCCACAGCCAAGTCAACTGACTCTGCAGCAACCGGCTCAAGATATGAATAAAGGATTCTGCTCGCTGTTTGCCGATGATGGACGAGGTCTGACAAGTAAGTAGAAGAATCTATATCTTTCTTTTTGAGTTACGGAATAGAAATCTCTATCATTGGAAAATTGGAAAAGTCTCTATAATAATCAAGGGCCTCTTTTCTAATCAAGCTTAGCATTTCTATTGATAGAGATTTCTGTTACACCCCCTCAGCTATATAACTTAATTCGGTTGTTAGGGAAGGTATAGTTTAAACAGCTGATAAGAGTGGAAAATAATAGAAAAACAGGAAAGATTCGCCAAGCACTTTGGAGTAGCTTTGTGTGTGTGTGAAGTGCATCAGGTGCAGTGCTCTGTGCTCAAGGCTAAAGTCGACGCTTTTCAGCGACAAAACAGCGCCAACTTATACATATGCATTCCGGTTTTGTTGTTGTTTATAAATTCTATGCAAAAATAGGCAACAACAAGAGGGCCGGGGAGCCTAGTGACGCGCGCTATTTGATGTGATTTGACGCATTGTGCGATTTGATTGGTCAGTCAGTCAGTCAGTCAGTCAGTCCGTCAGTTAGTCAGTTAGTCAGTCAGTCAGTCAGTCAGCCAGGTTGGTCAGTCATTCTGGCGATCGTCGATTGGGCTGCTTTCGGCTCGCTTATCTATGGCCGCAATTTGCGCAAATAAAACTATTTATTTGTAAAGACACAAATGCCCCGCCAACCAGCTCGCCGCTCGGAAAGTGCATTAGTAAACAATGTTCAGTTTAGTTCGCTCGCCTGATAAGTGCACAGTATATGTAGGTATATAAAAGTGCTGGACTTATATAGAGGGCTGTATATATATGGTTGGGGTGTGCGAAGGGGGGCGGATTCCCATCCGTACCTAACCGCAAGCCGGTTGCCGATGCAATTGCCCGGCTCTTATGTCACAGTTTGCCGGCATTACGCATACGCAGTGTTGTGTGCATGGAACCCCGGGGGATCGTTTATTGCAAGATTAGAGTTTGACGGTGCAGGGTTTGTTTTTTAAGGTGAAGAATGCAGTTATGAAAGTGGGTTACGTTCTAAGTAGTGAGTGTGTTACATCGACCCCATATATCTCTTCGATCTGCCAACAAGAGTGATATATAGTAGACTTTATTAAGATTCTGGACTTGCAGCGAGTAATTTATTAATCGTTTTAGTGCCTGTCTTTTATGGAAGTATATATGGGATCTTGTCTTTAAATAGATCTCTCGAAGTAATAGTTATTTTTGTTATGGAAATCATCATAAACATGTTCTGTATTTTCCACTAGAAATCATATGATTAAATTATTCGGAAAATCGTCACCGATTGTTTTCCTCTTTTCATTTCTCTACCGAAATATTTGTGTGTGTATTTTAAATGTTTTCTTCTTCGTTGCCCATCGAGTGAATTTTTCCGCTCTTTTTTTTCTGCCGCCTGGTGACAAAAACAGAAATATGAATATTAACTTGAGCCAATTAATATGCTAAGCGATGTGGCTGTCAACGGGGGGAGGAGGGGGGGTCCAAAAACAAAAAAAGAGTGAAAACCAGGGGAGTGGAGAGCCGCATTTTGGCGCGTGTGCCAAGGTCCGGTGATGGTGGTGGCGGTGGCGATGGATCAAGCGATGCTGTCTCGCATGTGTCGCATGTGCGTCCTCCTCCAGAACCATCCTCCCCTCCAAATTGCTGGGTATTTTCGACTCTTCCACTCAAGTGGACCTGCAGCCTCTAATCGCTTTCGTTTTTGCTTTCGTTCAGTGTCGGCCTCTTTGTGTTGACATTTTGCCGGGCCTGCAGACTGGGGCAGCTACTCGAATCTCGTATAGAGTAGATACTTTGCTTTACTTTACTTGGCTTTCTTCCCACCGCGTCTCTATATTTATTTTCGTTGCGTGGTGGAACGTAAATAAACAGGGAAACGTCTCGGCTTTATTTTGGTCTCAAATCGTTTTGCCTTAAGGAGATGTTGGTTGAGTAGCCTAGCCGCTGGCTTTATGTAATTTTTGTCACCGCATCTGTTTCTGTTTTGGTGTTTTTCCAAACACCTCAAATATTCCGCTCGCCAGCCTAATCAGTGTAACACTCGTCGATCGGCTAGATTGCCGGCTGTCAGATACTCCGATTTTCAAGGCGTTACAAGGCACTGATATAGATAGTAGTGGGATGGGGATCTCGAGGGGAAGAGCCCTTCTTCTTGATGGCCAAACAAAAGTAAACCGTTGACAAACAAAAACAAAGCGACCACTGTAATTACCCTATGCTCTTATCCGCTCACAATCTACAAAAGCAAATATTTGTAACGATAGCACCGGGAACACTCCGGGCCATAAATATCAATTGGGCACTCGGACCGATACATTTATGGCTGTTTAGTCAGTGGCTGACCAATTATGCTGGAGAATGGGTATAGGAATGGGTATAGGAATGGCAATGGAAATCGGGTTCGAAGGGGAATTTTGACAACGCACTTCTATCGTGATTAGCACGCGTGATAAGCACGCCCATCACGACGGCCAGCAGCTCAATTATGGACTCAAAATAACAGACGGACGATTGGATTCTCGCCTCATCACCCGGGTTCAAGTTCACAGCTGATATGATTAGTCCCAGTCCGATTTTCAGTCTGTGGCCGCTCTGTAAATTGTCAATATTTTTGGGCTCTTACATAAAGCCTTAGTTTATAGCTTTCGATGCTCAGCATCACGCCCTGTGTCCCCATTTCGACTCTCTTGCCATCTCTGCGGGCTCTTAAGTGCCCGTGTCCGTTGTTTACATATTCCGATTCTGATTTGGAACTACGTCACATCACGAGTCGCCGTCTTCAATTGCAGATGATGACATAAATTTATTTAAATTGAAGCCGTTTCTCCCGGGTTCCCAAACTGGGATCTCCAACAGCCAACAGCCAACAGCCCCGAAGATTCCTCGCAGTCACGCGTCGAGCATGAGTCTTCGGTATGAATCTAGTGTGTGTGCTAATGCGGCAACCTGTTCCCTTGAAAACTCTCGAATTAAACACATTCGCCTCAAGTGCACCGAATGTGGCTCAAGTGCAGAGATGCCTTTCACGAGTGCCTCACGACCGACCTCTCATTTTCTTGCACATAGAAAAAAAGTGGGTTCTCTTGATTGAAAACTCATTAAAATGTAAAAAGGAATCTCTCATAATTGATAATTAGATCTTAATGGTAAAGAGTTCTTCATGAATAGGGTGCAAACCTCTTCAGTCTAGTATTTCTGGCTGTGTGACAGGGCCAGCTACTGACCGGGTGACTTGATGACTGGGTGACTAGGTGACTGGATCACTGGGTGATGGTCAAGTTGCAGCCTTGCGTGTAGGCCCAGTTAGCCAGTTAGCCGCTAAATGCCACTCCCGGCCTTGCACTCTGGCGAAAAACAACACATTCGATAAGCTGTAATATATAGAAGCACTTTGCAAACATCTCATAAAATGCACTCCTCTATATCGGAGGAACATATACGAGATAGAAAGACCCCCAATGGGCTGGACTGAGTAGGGGGCTTTGTTTTCAGAATGTTCTCTATATGTGTGGTATTATCATGCGCCATAATTTCTGTTGTTTTTTCCGCAAAAAGCTTTGCCAGCGTTGAGTAGCACTCGAGTGCCATAATTACAAGTCACACTGCCGGGTTGGGGGTTCCATAAAGTAATGGAGGTGGATAGAGGAGGGGTTAGACCTTTTGGCGTGCATTGTTAATTAATTTGTTTGTGTCGAATGCAACGACCGCAAGAGCAAGCAGATGCCAGGGCTTCGGGGCTACAAGCTGTGCAAATCCCTTACACACCGCTAATCTGATCTTTATTGCTGCTTTCCTCAAAATGGCATTGGAAACTGCTCTGCACGGAGAGAAAACACCTGTGTGTATCTCAGAATGAGCATAGTAGTGTTACCTTTTCTTGTACTCATTACAAAAGCTAAGGCAGTGTGACCATGCAGTCATATTTAATGCCAAAAATTAGGTTATTATATGAGTTAATTGCAGATTTCTCTGCGTGTAATGTGCATTAGCTAAGCCCAAGCCGAACGTGGGCTGGCTGGCGAAGAGCAGCGAATCCATTCCAGGCAATATGCTTACTATATTCCGGCTTATATGGCTGCCCTGCCCGGTGGCAGTTGCCGCAGTTGGGATTTATCCGCATTATATATGGCTCTTTGATAGAAGCCAGCGGCTGAGCCAAAGGTAAACAATGCACTCGCACTCACATGCACGAACTTGGACTTGCATTTGAAATTCTATTTGGCCTGCGGTCGGTCTCCGTTGTTTTAGTTAGTTTTTCATTTCCATTTTGCAACTTAATAGTCGGCACACACAGGCGGTTGGGACCAGTTTTATTAGCATAGCATCTAGTATAGCAAACCCCATGACGGGAACGGGATTGGAATGGCTGAACGGGATGGGGATGGGGATGGGTTTGATAATTAAGGCTAGGCTTAGGAAATTCTAGGTGGGCTCAGATGACGCACAGGCCAATCTCGCGGGAAGATCGCCCCTGGTTCAAGACCCCAACTGATAAGCCACCTTGCACCTGATCTGGGGCGATGCACTCGATAGTTATTTAATTCCGTAAAAATAGCCTGCTCCGGTTCGATCTATACGATCTGCGGTTCCTGTTACAGGAATGTTTGTTTTTCTCATTGCTTGGCTTGCAATTATTCCGCGTACGTCAATGGGCGGGCCTAAAATGCTGATTAATGAGTCGCATGACCATAAAATCATGGCTCTGCTTCGGCAATTGGAGCGACTAATTCACGAGGGGAGCCGCACGTTGCCTTCAATTAGATTCAATTGAGAGCTGTCAATTAGAGGCGACTCAGGCGAGCGATAATTGAAATTTCGGCAGCACAAGCCAAGGGTTTTCTACGGAGCCAAGTTAATTAACAGTCACATAGAGACGAGAAAGGAAAACCGAACTGAGCTGTAGCTTTCCAACGCGAACTAGGTGAAACCGCCGCTAACTGCATGTCTTTCTTTTCGATTTCCGATTTCAGTGCTTAAGGAAGAACCCGATGATCTGTCCCACCACCTGGCCTCCACCAATTGCATCCAGTTAGACGAGATGACGCCTTTTGGCGATATGTTGGTGGGCCTCATGGGCTCCTGCCTGCTGCCCGAGGAGATCAATTCCCTGGACTCGACCACCTGCTCCACGACGGCCAGTGGCCAGCACTACCAGAGCCCCACCAGCAGCAGCAACTCTGCACCAAGCAATACCAGTAGCAATAGCAATAGCTATGCCAACAGTCCGCTCAGCCCGCTCACACCCACTCCCCCGGCCAGTGCCAGTAATCCCAGTCATCAGCAGCAGCAACAGCAACAGCAACACAACCAGCAGCAGCAACACCAACAGCATCAGCAGCAGCAGCAGCAACATCATCCCCAGCACCACGACAACAGCAATAGCAGCAGCAACATCGATCCACTGTTCAACTACCGCGAGGAGTCGAACGACACAAGTTGCTCCCAGCACCTGCATTCGCCCAGCATCACCTCCAAGGTGGGTTTCTGGATAACTCCTATCTTGATTAGCTTAACTAATAACCAACACTTTTTTTTACTTTATTACAGAGTCCCGAGGATAGCAGCCTCCCATCGCTGTGCAGTCCCAATTCGCTGACTCAGGAGGATGAGTTCTCCTTCGAGGACTTCGCCATGCGTGCTCCTTACATCCCGATCGATGATGATATGCCACTGCTGACGGAGACGGATCTCATGTGGTGTCCACCAGAGGATCTGCAGACCATGGTGCCCAAGGAGATCGACGCCATACAGCAGCAGTTGCAACAGCTGCAGCAGCAACATCATCAGCAGTACGCCAGCAATAATGGCTACCAGCAGCAGCAGCAGCAATCCGGTGTCCACCAGCAGCAGCATTTCTCCAACTCCTTGTGCTCATCACCTGCTTCGACGGTCTCGTCCTTGTCGCCATCGCCAGTGCAGCAGCAACATCAACAGCAGCAGCAGCAGGCGGCGGTTTTCACCAGCGATTCCAGCGAACTGGCAGCACTGCTGTGCGGATCCGGAAATGGAACCCTTTCGATTTTGGGAGGAAGTGGTGTGACCGTTGCGGAGGAGTGCAATGAGCGACTCCAGCAACATCAGCAGCAGCAGCAACAGCAGGGTGGCAACGAGTTCAGGAGTTTCCAGCAGCTGCAGCAGGAGTTGCAGTTGCAGGAGGAGCAGCAGCAGCGCCAGCAGCAACAGCAACAACAGCAGCAGCAGCAACAGCAGTTACTCAGCCTGAGCATCGAGTGCAAAAAAGAGAAATACGATGTGCAGATGGGAGCCAGCTTATGTCATCCCATGGAGGATGCATTTGAGAACGACTACAGCAAGGACTGTAAGTATCTTGGGAAAGAGGGAGGTTGACTTTATTAGATCAACTTGAATTAGTTAGATTACAGTTTGAGAGGCATTTTAATTAGATAGGTTGAAGAACAGTTCTTAATTTTGTTATTTTATTAAACATAAAAGTCAGTCTAAAAAGCACTTATTAAGACAAGAATGTCAGATCAATTGATGGGTAATCATGGAATGGAAATTTTACGACACTTTCGTTTTTTAATAGAAAGAGACTTTTGATAGATCCAATAGAGACAAATAGATTGATTTACGGCCTCTTGGGACTTTCCTCTCTCTCTATCTCTCTGGGCTTTGGAAATATTCCACAATTTCGCCTCCTGCATTTGGAAAGGCCTAATTTTATGGCAGTTTCCCGGCTAAAAATACCCGTGGAAACTTGCTTTATTTTTTATGATATGCTGCCAACGCACACGCACGCACTCCAACGCCTACATGTAAAAATAGAGGCAAGCATAGGGAAATATTTCAGAATTTTCATTGCGTGTCGCGGAAGATGTCACTCGGTTGAGGGTTGGGTTCTTTTTATGCCGCTTTTCTGTTTGGGAAAACTGCGGGAGAGCTAATTGATGTGGGTCTGCCGCTCCTCCACACTCCAGTGGCTTGTAAGCGATTTGCGTAATTTTCACACATTGCTCTCTTACCTTTGACACATGTCACGGCACGAGGTCTGTGATTGATGCCCAGAAAGGGGCGGAATAGGTGACATCGGGCCCAGCCCTGTCACTGGTATTGACTGCAAGTGCTGGGTATTATGACAGGCAGTGAAAAGCGGATAGGGGCACCGGAGGATAGTGGGATATTGACAGATGCCTCTAGGCCTTTATGAATTTTCCACTAGCTAATCGCGCTGATTTATGTCGCACACACCAGGCGAGGGAAAACGAAACAAACCGTAGATATTAGCTACTTTCGGTGTAGGTAGATACAAAGATACATAGATACAAAGATACATAGATACAAAGACAAAGGCTGACACATACATATTGTAGAGAATGTGGCCACTTATTTATGTGCAAAATGTTTGAGGCAGCCAAATATTATTGTTTTAAATTAGCACCAATGTCATGGGCAAAGGAATTAATTTTTGGCTGGCATTCGATTCGATAAATTTGAGGATTAGACAGCACATTTTCCCAGAATGTTTCTTCGTTTTTGGCTAACTTTGATTTGAATTGCTTTTATTTTAGCCACGAATCTGGACTGCTGGGACCTTCTACAGATGCAGGTGGCGGAGGCGGCTCCCGTGAGTCCCTCTGCCTCGTCCCCTGCCCTCAGCAAGGTGACCACCATCCAGTTGCTGCAGCACCAGCAGCAACTCCAGCAGCAGCAGCATCAGCAGAACATCATCCTGAATGCCGTGCCATTGATCACCATTCAGAATAACAAGGGATTGATGCAACAGCAGCAGCAGCAGCAGCAGGAGCAGCTCCAGCAGTCTTCGTTGAAACTGTTGAATGGAGCCAACATAGCGCCAGTGACCACCAAGGCCACCATTCGCCTGGTGGAGAACAAGCCACCCACCACGACGCAACCTCGGTTGGCCAAGGTGAACCTTGTCCCCCAGCAACAGCAGCAGCATGGAAACAAGCGCCACTTAAACAGCGCGACAGGAGCAGGCAATCCCGTGGAATCGAAGCGCCTGAAGAGCGGAACCATCTGCCTGGATGTGCAGTCACCGCAGCTCCTGCAGCAGCTGATTGGCAAGGATCCTGTACAACAGCAGGCACAGGCAGCCAAGCGGGCAGGAAGCGAGCGCTGGCAGCAGTCGACGGAGAACAAGCAGCAGAAACAGCAGCAGCAGCAGTCGAACTCGGTGCTGAAGAACCTGCTGGTCAGCGGACGCGATGTAAGTGCTGGCTACTGCATTGTGCCCATGCGGCCCAAGAAGCAGCTGGCCAAGGTCTAGAGTCTAGAGTACATTGACTCCAGTGAAGAGACCTTCACCCGCCTCTCAATTAGCTAATGGAAGCACCCACAGCCGGCTATGATTAGAAACCCCAAGGATTGTTAGGCTAAGCAAATGGACAAGCCCATTTCTACAATTTGTCTTTGTAAATGGATCGATTTTATATTGCTAGAGAACTAGAAAGTACGACTACCACTGCATCATCTAAACTGTAAACTGTAAACTGTAACCAACAAAGCAACCTCCTCCCGCTGCGAGAGGAAGGCGGGCCTAGTTTTAGTCCGTTTTTGTAGTCCCTACACCTAAGTCCCTTAGTCCTTAGTCCTTAGTCCCTAGATATAATTATATAGCGGTTAGATCTAGTCTAGATGTGTAAGAGAGCTGCAGTAGCGGCTGCAGCGTGGACTTTAAAATTATAAATTTGTAGACTATTTAAAATAGTGCTAACCGAACCGAACCGATCTGGTCCGAACCGATCCGATGCGAACCAGATGATTGATTGATTGATTGATTGATCGATCGATTGATCGTTAATCCTAAGTTGTAGCTTGGCGCGATTTGTTGATTTCTTTTTAAGTTACAGACCTAAGAACCTAAGCAAGTTGTTAAAAATCTTCTGTTCTGTTGAGCAAATTCTGTTGTACATACGAGGAGGAGCGGTAGGATAATACTATTCGAGTAGTTATAGCGAGTGATCACCGTGCCGTAGAAGAGAAAAAGAATAAGATGGAGGAGAAGAGAAGAAGAATCATCACAGCGGATCGCAGACCGCACACTTCGGACGTAGTTGTTTAGAGATGAGGAGGAGAGGACGAGACGAGAGGAATGGGAATCAGAGAACGATTGCAATAAAATTGTAAACTATATAAATTCAAAATACGGCAACTTTAAGTTTTTTACTGTGATAGCATTTGCTTTTGTTGTTTGAGTTACCGTTACCGATACCGTTACCGATACCGTTGCCGTTACCGTTACCGTTAGCGGCATCCATCAGGTTTATTTTCTAGACCTTAACCCTATGATTTCTGTTAACTTATTCGAGCAATTTGTTAGATGTGTAAGCTTTGACTGAGCAGTGGACATGAAGGGTTCAGAGATGATTCAGAGACAGAGACAGGACGCGTTTGTTTTCGAGTTCGTTTTGGGCCTTTTTGTTGTTGTGTTTTCTCGGTAATAAGAAGAAGAAGGATGATGAAGAAGAAGCACAAGCGGAAACCATGTAAATTGTCAAAATTTGTGAACGAAAAGTAGCAAAATTGAAAACTCAAATTCGAGCGCTGAAGGTACAAAGAAAAAGAAAACTAAAAAAAGAAAATGAAATCCCTATAGGAAAGTCAAGAGAAAGTAAAGAAGAAGAAGAAGGAGAAGGAGCAACTTTAAGCTAGAAAAATATGCACACTAATCCTAGTGAAAAGTCAAAACTAAACAATAAACACAACACACACACACATATATACAAATAGAGCAACTATTAGCAATTAAATAACAATCCTCGTGTTGTCAGCAACACACACACACACCTAGAGTTAGTTGCCTAGATTTAGAGCGTATTTAGAACAAACCTCGGGTCGCCACTGAAGCTTTAACCTGGCAGGAGCTTTCGTTTCTTATTAGTTGTCGTTTTAACTTAGTTTGTAGTTCCTTTGTTTTGTTTTTATTAGCGTTAAATACACCTAAACGAAGGAGAAGTCATTTTCCAAGACGAAAGAAAAACCAAAAAACATTATCAAACGCTGTCTTTGTTTTGATTTTCATTACTCTATATGTTTATATTATTTTGGGGCCCTTGAATATTTCAAAACCCATATTGATTTTCCATCGCGAACTGACCTACATAGCCCCATAAGGGCGCTGTACTTGTACATATGTATATCCCAACCGATTCCTCATTGTGTGTCGCCTGGCGGCTTAATTAACTTTCTGAGACTTCAGCCATGGCGTGTCTGACGCACATCGAAGGCAATACCAAACCGAAATCATAAATATCCAGCTGGCAAACATCTAAAGCTATGGCAGGCACACAAATTTACACGCAACTAACCCCGCCTCGGTTGGGAATTTAAAATGCCAGGACTCCCACTATTGACACTGCTTTAGTCAGGCCATTGAATTGGGATTTGAGCCTTTGCCAAAGGACTCGCCCTCCTCCTTCCCTGTCCTTTGGCGACATACCGACCTACCGATAAGACCCGGAGGCAGCGCGTCCCGCATTCTAGCTTGAGCTGAGTTCGGGCTTCCCATTCGTATTGATTTTGCACCTCCAACTTGGCAGGCCTCCTCCTCCTAGAACACCCACCCATTCGGGGCTATCCTTTGCCTGGCTGTGTTTTATTTTCCCTTCCGCTGCGCACAGCTGACGCTCTTTTCTGCGGCACAACTTTCACTCTCACTCAGACTTTCACTTTCTCTTTCTCTTTTTGGTCTCCCGGACTCTCTCTTTTGTTCCACGGCACGTGTCTCTTATGTACTGAAAAAGGCCCGGGTCTGGGTTTACTACTCGGCTGGTTTTATGGCCTACACGAGCTTCCCACTCTGGGCGGACTTTCTGCGTCACGGCTGGCACTTTTCCGTAGTCCCTGCATTAATGAATCGCCCGACCACTGCTACTCTGCCTCCGTAATTGGCTGCAGCTTCTGCGGAACCAGAGCGGACCCAATTTGCATTATTCTCGGGCTCAGGCGACACATGTGTGTACGTGGTTAAATATTTGCTCCCTACTTAGGGGCATCCTCCGCCTCGTTTACTTTATTTGCCTTATTTACTTTGTTACTTCTGTTGGTCCTTATGTTTTTGGACAGGCTAAAGAGCTTCGCTGGCGGAATAGAACAATTCGTAGGAGAAATTGCCAGTTAAAACAGATCGGAACCGCATCTACCTCGTGTGGCAAAATCGAGAAACTGAAACTGAAACCGAAACTACCTCCGGATCAGCCATCAAAAATAGTAACCTCAACGAAAATCGAAGGCCAAAAGAGCAGAATAGGCGCCCTTCTAGGAAATTTTACTGTTAGCAAAATGACAAGCAATCCTCGAGATATTAACTAGACAAATACCAGACAACTTAGCATATATATATTCCTCTCGATAATCATTTAGTCAGAGCTCCACAGTGGGGTCATGAGAACATTTGAGTAATTAATAAATTATATAGCCCGAAAAGACTGCGAGCCGAAAACTCTGAAAAACTAAATATATACACATAGCGCGGAAGTTATATAGATAGATCTAAGCTAAGGGATGTACATACTCGTAGGGATCGTAAGGATAGATCGGAGCAAACACCAGAGAAGCTAGTAAGCTAGCTGGGAGAACCCCTCAAAATTAATCGATGTGGCTTTAACTAAACTTAAACTATAGGTCTCCAAGCATGGGGAGCAGCCTAGCCTAGCCAGTAATCCTAATGCCTAATATTTAGCTATGATATCGAGATAGTATTAACTAAGCCCCGCGCAAGTCAAATTCAAATCGACTAACGATAACAATAACAATAACGATAACGACTTTGTAGTAGACGATCACGGATCCCAATCATCACCTTTAGTTGAAATTTTTCGCGTTACGTATGACAGAGAGATAAAGAGAAAGGAAATCGAAGAGATCGAGAAATCGAGGGAAGTTGGGTAGCTTTATTGCGACGGAGTGCAAATCGGAAAATCGGGAAATCGGGAACGAGAATCGAACAGAAAGTACATACAATACCACAAATATACCACATATACCTCAGTACATGCATAAGTACGATCGTGTAGGCCGATCGGCGGACTATATGGCCCCGATTGGCGCTTACTTACATACATACCTCGTGTATACATATAACATTAACTAAAATATACATATACATATACCTATCCTAAACATATGCCTACTCCGACTTTTGATAGTTCAATACACCTTAGTGAATGTTGTGCGACCCTTTGATAACGAGCGTTTTTTACTACCTCCAATTCTTGTTGTGTGTGTCTCGCATTTATAGCAATGAATTAACTAGAGTCCCCCCAACTAAAACCCTAAACTAAAAACCTTAAAACCTAAAACTAAACTAAATTAAAGCTAGCCCAAGTCTAGAGCAAGTAAATTAAAGGAAACTAAACTAAATGTTGTGTCATTTTTATAGCCTACTTATGTGCGTCGAAAAGTAAATTTAGTGAAATTTTGTGAGTCACCTCAACACACACACACAGCCTCCCCTTCCCCTTGAAATACAGATTTATTGAGCAACTTTATTAGCTGTAACTTCGGCAGCCAGCAAATGAAGACAGACATGCGAGCAGCATACTATACTATACACCCTTGACATATCCGTTTGCTGTAGCTCCTGTTTCGGCCAACTCATCATAACTCAGAGAAGAAGTCAAGGTGACAAGCACTTTGTGTGCGTTGCAATTGATTTGGCGGCTGGCTGATTTTGATTAATGCTCCCCTAGAGGATTCCTTATTCCAACAGTCAATTTGAAGTCACCCCCCCCCACCCTAGTTACGCCTTGATTAATTGTTCTGGCATTATGCAAAGTTATATTATGATTGCCGAGATCAACAGGTCGCAGTTGTGTCTACAAGTGTAACCTTTACATAAACCCTGCCCCAGGACTCATTTGTCAGCAGAGTGGCGAACAAATGAAGAGTCATTTTCATGGGGCATTTGCCTTTATTTGCCATGCCAACAAATCGCTTCAACCTTCTCCGGTTAATTTGCAACAATCATTTGTGCTTTTGTCCACAGACTAAGCTGCTTAGATGGGAACCAGAAACAGAAAACCCTGTCCTATATTCCACTACCCACAACCCACACGAACACCATATAGACAACACCGAGAATACCTCCAGTTCCACAAGATGTTAGCGTAATTTGAAAGCGTAGAGCTAAACTAGCCTTGAATTAGACTCGAATCGAAGCGAACCGAAGCGAATCGAATCGATCCGCAATGTAAGGCAAAACTAGTGTGTAAACGCCGCAAAGTATGCAATATTATACATATATATACACCCATATACATAAATATATATACATATATATATATATATACAAGAAAGATGTCAAGCAACTTATACATATACAAGCGAATGTAGTACGATACGATATGGCATATGATATGATATCTGGATTATAAAGTATTTTAATAAACTTTTAATAAATATTTTAGTAAATCCAATAAAAACAATAAAGCCGAACCCCCAGCGAATCAACTGATACAGTAGATAAGAGGAAGCCGTCTCGCAGGAACGCAGGGAAATTGTGTTTTTATTTGGAAAGTAAGCTAAAGAAAGAAGGAACGGAATGGGCGCCGTCGAGGTTTACAAGTTTTTCCTTCGATTTATGTGCATACATTGGCCCTCGAGCATATTTGTATTGACAGGCTGGCCTGGGAATTGATTAATCTCTATTGAGCATTCGCCGTTCACCATTCACCATTCAGCATTCACCATTCATTGTATTTGCCAGTCGCTCCACTGACTGGCAATTTATTAAAATCTTTTGATTGGTATAAATGATGCTGCCAGCTAATCAAGTTGCCCGAACTTGGGCCTGTCCCTGGAATTGAATTCCTTATTGTCTTGTCTCTCACTTCAGCTCAAGCACTTGAATATGCCAGGCACATCGGAACACACGGATAACTTTCTCTGTTATCTCGGGATTTTCGTTCTCGTTTCACTTTCTGGCCAAATTTAAATCTTTCGCTTCGTTTGCCTGTGAATAAATGACAAATTTTCGTCACACACGAGCGCTGTCTCGAAATTAAATTCCGCTCAACCTTCTAGGTCCTGCGTCAAGCAGGACTCATCCTTCGTTTCCAAAAATATGCCTGGCGACAATTGCATTACGTATACGCCACATTGTCTCCGTAAACGAGATGGCTTGCATGAGTTATTCAAGTTTATTGCTTATTGATTTCGGGCCCCAGTTTTCAATTTCAATTTCACCTCGTTATGGAAAGAGGGCAATCCTTTCGAGCCTTCGAGTTTTCCCAGGAGCCCCTCCATGCGTAGAGTTACGCAATAAGAGCCGAGTTCGAGAAAATGTTACTTAAGTACATTTGCTGCCTACTTTTCCTTTTTATTATGCGGTGACAGCAGATTTTTCTGCAGAAACTTGGCAGCAGCAGCGCTGGGCCAAAGTAAGAGCAAAGTTTCGCTTTAATTGCTTTTGTTTTCCTATTGGACTTTCGTGGGCCGTGTCGTGGGTGGGCGTGGCACGTACGCAGCGAGGCGTCGATGAAATGCGATGCCATAAAAAGGAAAAATCCAATTAGGCGGCTTTAAACGCCGAGTCCTGCAAAGCCAACTCAGCAGAACACAGGGGAAATCCGCCATAAAGTCGGCGCAAGACTGCTGTCTAAGACATCAAAGTGAAGGAGCCGAGCGAGCGGAGGAGGACTGCCAATTATTGTAATGCCTTGGCATTTCCGGAAACCTTTACCGCGGACAGTGGCGTCTTTATCTAATAGTTTTTGCCTTTTGCGTGGCAGCAATCGCCTTCAATAATTTATTAGAGCATATTAGACCGATGCCCGACTTGCGGCAGCCATGCCACACAATATATCAAACAATAAACCTATTACACGGCGCCTACTACGGCCAACGATGTCCTCGGGGGGCAGTGCGCGTGCCATTGTAACTTCTCATCATTTCGTTACGCATACGCCCTGTCAGCCGAGGACAGGAAAAAATGTTTCTGGGTGTTACCCATATCCTCTGACCATATCCCCTCAGGACAAGTTCTCTCTGGGACAGATGTTATGACTCCGACTTTCGCTTTCTTTGTCCCTAGCTCTGTTTGCCCACCGCTCAGCTTACAGCACTTTCGCTTTCACTCTGTAATTGCTGCAATTAGCACTCGCTGCAATCGAAGACTAACAATCGGCGATGAAAGCTTGGCAAACAGTGGGCAGGGGTGCGGTTCAATGGACTGCACTTGAACCCTTGTCCGGTGGACGTCATCACACCCGTCGGGGTAATTTTTTGGCAGCTCTATCTTCGTCATCGGCCGTTGTCAAAGTCTGCACAGAAGGAAAATGTTTTAGTTTTTTATGTTTTAAGGCAATAAATTTCGCACACTTTATCCTTTTTACAGGATGGCCACTTTTTAAAATAGTTTAATAGTGAAACATCTTAGTTTTTAGCCACATTGAAATGTAAATTGAACGTCCGGAAATGAAAATGATTTGTAGAAACCAATATTAATGTGTTATTTTCTCTGTAAGGAAAAAGCAGTCGGCAGCTTGGCAGCGGTCGAAACTGATATGTTCCCCACTTCCTGTCAGTCTGACTGGCGGGAAAAGAAATGGGCTCCGACTGGTGGCTCTTAAAGCGAAAGTGGGGGCGTTCTTTGTGTCAATCTGAAATCCAGAGCATAATAATGTCCCGCCGCTGGATTCTGTTACAACGCGAGCAGCAGGACCCATTCCCAACCATCATTAAAATATGATTTATTGCGGGTTTCCCTAACTCACTTTTGGGGTGGGCTTTGCCGCCTGGCTTTTCACTGCCTGAGAGCTTCCCGCTGCTGTTGCCCGCTTTCCCATGGCTTTTCCACAGGGACTACAAGGGCTTGAGCCTGTTTGAGCGAGTGACTTTAAACGTCTTCACGACTCCGACTTAGCTCTGTTTTTCCGCTCGATTTTCGTTTGACTGTCAAGGTATCAAAGTCTCCCTGCAGGTCTCATCGAGTTAATAGCCGGCATTTGCATAGGAATAGCCACGAAACTCTGTCAAAAGTTGCGTCCTTCTGGGACCCAGTTGCTGGGGGATTCGGGGAGTAATTTAGCTGCAAATCGGTTAATTTAATTTAATTTACGCACAGATTGCGGTGCTTAAGTTATAATTGTAATTTCAATTGTTAGCCATTAGTTATGAATACCAATAAGTTCGGATTAAATAAGGTCCCTTAGAAAATCGATCCATTTACTGATGCAAATTTGTAATAATTAATAATTCTACATTTTAGCCGAGGGTGCTTCCTACACAGAAAGAAACTTATAACTTTTTTGATCTAAAAAACATATCTTTATACTTTACTAATTTATTTTTTCCTTTTTCTTTTCTTTTTCTGCCCCCTAAAAACAGGTTAGCGAATCCGAACCCATGATGATCGATGAGGACAACTCCCTTGGAGCAGTCCAGCCCCCTTGGCAAGTATGGTTTGCCCCTGCACTGCCACACCTCCACGTCGGCGGTGCTGCGGGACTTTCCACCACAATCCGCTGATTAGCGGCACCAACTTCCAGCTGTCTCCGGTCTTTGGAGGCTCAGATGCTGGAGGAGGTGACTGCGAAACAGGGTCAGTGGTTTCCCTAGATGATTCAGTGCCTCCGGGCCTGACAGCTTGCGAGACCGATGCCTCCAGCGACAGTGGCATCGATGAGAACAGTCTGGTGGACGGGGCATCGGGGACACCGCGTAAGAGGGTGCCCCTGACATCCACTTCCAGTGAGCAGGTTGAAGCTGCACCACCGCCATTGGATGTGGTGACAGCAGTGATCCAGCAGTCAGGAGAGGAGGAGCTCGAGGGATGCGGAACCATCAGTAATGCCCCCAGCAGGAAGACCTCCATTTCCTTCCTGGACAGCAGTAATCCCCTGCTGCACACGCCGGCCATGATGGACCTGTGCAACGACGACTACATCATGGGCGAGGGCGGCTTCGAGTTCAGCGAGAACCAGTTGGAGCAGGTCCTGGGATGGCCAGAGATCGCCTAGGACTGCCTAGGATACCCTTGCATGCATGCATTTGATAGAAGGGCATTTTTGGGCGGAGGATGAGGATGAGAGGGAGAAGAAAACATTGAAATTAAACTGAGCATCTGAGAGAAAGCTAACCAAAAGATTGATTTTGAGCCTTGCGATAAAGAAGGAGAGTAGCACAACCGACCTGACAAGACCTATCCCCACCAACCATTTGACCCCAGACCCCGACCCCGACCACTGACCACTGAGCCCATGCTAACCGACACATTTACAAACAGGAAGGGTTAATCACACTTGAATAGTTTTGTAGCCATGTTAACTGCCTAGAACAGAAGAATATACACGTATGTACTTTAGTCTTAATGTTTTTCTATATGCGAACCGTTTACACACCAACAGAAGGATGAGGAGCAACACAGAGGAGGAGGAGTACCAGTCGATGAATAACGATAAACTTACAAACCACGAAAAGAGAAAATATCTGGGAAAATGTTCATAGTTTTTTGCTAGAAGGCTCAAACAAGTTTTTTGGTGATGGTTGTATTCTGTTTATAACTTTCAAGCGAAAAAGCTGTGACGAAAAAAAAGTTTTTGAACATGTTTTACAAATAAATATATTAAACAAAAAAATGAAAAAAAAAAAAAAAAAAAAAAAAATATTATTGTAATGTCTAGTTTAAGATTTAATTTCAATGTTTTCAAAGTGAAAGTTTTTAGTAATATTTTAAGTATAATTATTCGAACTAAGCAAATATCTACCCGATTCAGTTGATCTTAACTTCAGGCTATACTTTGTGCATTTCTACCAGTTTACTTTGTGTCAATCACTTTCAATAATTTCTCGATTTTGCATCCCTTTGATATCGATTCTTTATGTAAACTAGTTTTAGTTCTGTTTAAGGCGCATCTTACAAAACCAGCTGTTTGCTTGCTTAAATCCAAATTCAATCCATGTTCAGTGTTTCTAAACTTGTTTTAATATTAATTGGCAAATAAATATAGAATTCATTTCGATGAAAGTTGCATGCAGAAAATCTGTGCTGTGTTTTTTCTTTTGGGAGGAGAAAATTTGAATATTATTTCAGAAAATTGAGTTCGTACAAGCTAATTCGCCGTGGAAGCTAAATTCGCCGTCAACGCTTAGCAAAGACACAACCCACTGTGTAAAATTCATGTATATTTTAGCACCGAGTCAGCCAACCAAATGTAGATGAAATGTAATAAATGTTTAAATTGAATTCCGAGTAATAATAATTATAAATATCAGCCTATTTAAACTGCACATTATTGCGCAACAGCTCCAGGATCTGCTCTTCAGGAGCTATCCACTTGCATTCCGGATATTTGAGGGCGCAGTGATGGGGGGATTGCACTTTCCCTGCTTCGATGGCATCCCGAAAAGCGGATTGCTCAAACCAGGCCAGCAGCCAGGACCATTTGGTGGCTCCATCCAATAGGTGCTCCATATCCGAAGCCTGACCTCTAAGTACCTTTTCTCCTGCGCTGTGGGTCAAAGTGCAAATGGATTTCAGCAGGCAGACAGATAGATCCACGTCGCTCTTGAGGAAAGTTTTCTCGATTATGGTTAAGATATTGGGAAGGCTTGTCGCTGGGAGAGAAATTAAAAGGTGAACCAAAAAAATTGGTGATAACTATAAAAGGTAAAAGGTACGAAACTTACCCACACGATCTCCAGTTTCATTGCGATAGATCAGCTTGAAGTTCTCAAAGATTCCAGGGAAACTTAAATTATCATCGAAAAGTCCTCTGGCTGTGGCGTTGGTAGAACTAGGTGCTGGTGTGGAGGAGGGCGTGTCCTCCTCCGAAGACTTTGGTTTATGGAGGGAAGAATTCCCAAAAATAGGCGGGGGATTATCCCCTGTAATGGCCTCCAATCCCAAGCTCCGGATTAGGTGGCCCACTAGGACTCCTCCAGCCACCACTAGCCCACAGCTTACCACTGCCGCCGAGTTCACTACAACTAGGGGCTGAAGAGGAAGTTTAAGGCCACAGCTTTATAATATTCACTTCCTAACTAAAACCCTACCTTAGGTGGTGCATTTCGCTTTCGTTTTACAGGAACCTCAAGGAAGGGTACTAGATAGTCCAGACCCAAGGCTATGTGCTTGCCCACCGCATCGAAGGATATGAGTTTGAATCCTTGTCCAGGATGGTGCTGCTTGGACATCTTCCCAGATCCTTGCTCTTCCTCCTCGGGTTCTTCCGCTTCTTCACTGCTAGCGGCCCAGATCACAGCACAGCTGGCCAGGAGAGCGCAAGTCAGGTACCATAACTTCATTTTACCGCCGAGAGATCCGTTCGGGTGCGTAGTTGGTGAACATTTGAATCAATTTCCCAGGTGGTGTCACCAGCAGACTTTTCATCCAACGCCACCGCTCTGCTTCGATGGGTAACCTGTGCACTGAAAAAATTGAAATATTTCCACAATTTCCATTAATTAATATCAAAATATCTATGTCATATATCTTTGGAATGTTCTGTAGTTATTTTACTCCCTTAAATGTTCTTGTAAGTATCGTAGAGTTGGGTGGCTGACAGATAATAATAAGTAAACACTTTTTTCCCAGTGTTATTATCGCTTGGCTGCCCCTTGGTTAAAGCAATTTCTTGCTGTGCCTCCAGTTCCCACTCGTGTCTCGAAAACAAAATGCAACAAAGTGGTTAGTGTGACATAACAGGTAGGGAGGTGCGAAAACGATTAGCTGGAGGAAGCTTCGGGCCAGATGAAAGCGGAAGATAGCTATAACTACCTTCTCTAATTGGGGGAGAAGTGGCAGAAATTAATCCAATTTCCCGGCATTTTCATTACGTAAAAAACATTCGTTGTAGTGACAAGATATGAGATACTTTTAAGATTCTTTTTATTTAATATTTGTATCTTAAAAACTAATAATATTTTTGCAGTTTCAATCTCTTTGATCTCTTTTCTAAAACTAAGAACAAATAAATAAATAACCATCACAATGAATGTACTAAAGTTGATTAATATTATCCATTAAAAAACTTCTTTATCTGTGGCAAGCCTCCCGATTTCCACCTGCAACTGCGATAGGTGAGAGTGCAACTGCGACTGCTCCTTGCTGATTGGATGGCATGGAAAACTGCAGTTCCATCGACAAAGGAATGCAGCCAGGAGGAGCTTAAGAATACAAAAGTAAATTATTAATATAATATTTAGTTAGTTTTAAGCTTAAAATTCTTTACCTTGTCAACACATTTAGAACCCTGGCATAGCCGGAAGACAAGTTTTGCTGCAAGTACTGGCAGATCATCCGCTGGACACAGACAGACATGTCGATGTTATGCTCCTCCAGCTGTGATTCCACGACATCAGTCAGCCGGCGCACTACCCCAAAAAAGAAACACAATGAGCACCTCTACAAGATAGATCTCTTTCCTACTTACTCCCTCTGTCTGAACCAGATTTGTAGCCATAACCATTCCCAATCGATGTAATGACTAAAGGCGCTAAAAGCAACCGGACCACCGCTGCAATCACAGCTCCGGCAGCCACAACAACAGCTGTGTTTATGATAGCTCCAGTTCGCAGATTCAGGATGTTCTGGACAGCATCTCTAGCCAGATTCATACTCCTCTTTACGGGTACCTTAAGGAACGGCACGATGAACTCCAGCTCCACACTGACATCCTCGCCGCTGGCATGGAAATGGAAGCCACGACCCTCGCGTTCCAACTTGTTATTATCAGCTTCCTCCACACTGATTTCCATATCCATTCTTCCACTTTGCTGACGCGGTTCGAAGTCGCGAAATCGAAGCATTCGGGCACTGGCATTGCCGTAAAAATCACCGTAGCTCAGATCGCTCCCGTCAACACTTTCTCCGAAGTAACCCAAAAGTGGAAACAGGGCCATTATGCCCAGCAAATGCAAGATCCGCATCAGCCACATGCTGTCGCCCGAGCGGTTGGAGTTCGTCTGATCGTCACTCAAAAACATGGAGCTCGCTTTGTAAGCGCCACAGCGACGGAGAATTACGTGCCCCACGCTCCGGCAATCAAGATATGATATTCATTTAGTCGGAAAACTAAAGCGTAAGACGGGGGCGCGACTTTAACGCTTGGCGGGTTACAAGTTGGCGAATTCGCGGTGGCAGCTGGCCGACCATTGATTGAATAACGATAACTGATTCGCAAGGATAAGGAAAGACAAAAATGCGAACTTAAAGAAGTGATTTAACAAATTTGAATCAGTGCAGAGATGGTGCTTCTGATAGAGCAGGTGCAACAGTCCGTGAAGCAAGCAACACGCTGAAAAATTATTCAGCTTTACTTTTAGGTAAAAACATTGCCATTCATGTTGTACAACCTAAACTTCTCTCTGTGCATTGGGAATCTCCAGTAAACTCTCCTTATTAGAAAGACATTTGCGCTCGACTATGGCCCGGAAAATTTGCATATTCCGCGAAGTGAACTCGCTTATGGGCTGCAGTTATGTCACCAGCAGTGCGACAAAGGTTAGGTAAACAGATCGGAGTTGGGCAAGAGCACCCTGGGAATTATCCGAGACTTTCTTGGTTCCCCGTTGCTTTAACCATTTCAGCGTTAAGGTGTTAAGGTTAGATAAACAAACTGGCGTTGGAGTAATGACCTCAAAGGGAACGATGTACTTCTCAGCTCAAACGGAGCAAGGGAAAGAGATCTGAAATAATGAAGGAGATATGATCTGTGGGGTAATTATGATGGCTTGTTTGGGGCTATCAACCAGGTGGGTTAAGGTTAACTAAACAAAAATAATAATTAGGGGTGTCAACTTGCATGTTTTAGGAGAAGGAACTAGATATTGTATTTCGAATTTAATAGTTTGATTTTCAAGCGAAGACCTATAACTAAAAATAAAACTTATGTACTGTTGGTGTTTATTAAAACTTACAATTTTACGCGGTTAACTACTTTCGGAACATTGGTAGGCTAAAATCATATGTGGATAGGATTAGTGAGAATGTGGAAGTCCAAGCGATACGTTTGACGAAACTAATGGATAGAAATGTCGGAGGAGCGAGGCTCTATCGTGGAATCAAACCGGACCATCTTCTTCGTCCTTCGCTTTGTCCTTTGCTTCTGTCGCTCCTTGCCCATTTCCCGGGACCAAGGCTCCTGACGGTGGGGAGAAGTGGGTGGATAGGCGGCTTGATCCAGCAGCCTCATGTGGTTGCCACTCAGAGGGAGGTCAGGGTCCGTACTGTAATCTGGAGGAGTGCGAATGGGTCCAATAGTTCGCACGCGGGGCTTGGTTTTCGCGGAGATATTGTTTGACCCGATTGTACGAAGGCTCCTGACGGTGGGGAGAAGTGGGTGGATAGGCGGCTTGATCCAGCAGCCTCATGTGGTTGCCACTCAGAGGAAGATCAGGGTCCGTACTGTAATCCGGAGGACTGCGAATGGGTCCAATAATTCGCACGCGAGGCTTGGTTTGCGTGGAGATATTGTTGACCCGATTATAGATGCAGGAATCCTGGTACTCCTGCCCTGCATAGCCTCCAGCAACGCGACCCGGCTCAGGCTTCTTTTTCTTCGGCTTCTTCGGTATGTTCCTCATCTTGGGCGGCTTGGGCTCCTCCTGGATAACGCCCTTCCCATAGATCCATTTCAACGGCTTCTGCCGTTCGCCCATCACACAGCCCGCGTACTGAACTGTGGCATCGGGCATATGGGGATAAAGACTGGGCGAGACCCAGTCAGCCTCGTCGTACTGCGTCTCGGTGTGCTTAACATGGGAGCTCTTTAAGCGCTCCGGATGCATCAAGCCTGCCGGCGGAGTCACCCCGAAGTCGAACTCTGCTTCGCTGTCCGATGTGTCTGTGAGCACCAGGTCGTCCTCGAAGGATGGTACTTTGCGACGCTTGCACTCCTTCCGGACATGGGATATCAGCGTCTTCTTCTCCACGAAACTGCGGCAATAGCAGGTCATCAGCGGCTTGTGGCAGGAGCACTTGCTGAATCCCATTCCCTTGAGGCAGCGCTTCACGTCGCGCAGCTCTTTCAAGAGAGGATTCTTCACGATCCGGAACTGAACGGGCTTCATTTTCACGTAGGGATTGGCGGAGCGTAACAGCGTCTTGGCATCCTTTAGAGGACGCAGGGTTATGGTGTACACATCGTTCTTCTTTTCGATATGCAGAGTGGGCACCTGGACCAACTCCTCCGGCTTCTCACAAGGCCGAGCCTTTGGCTTCTTCTTGTTATTGTAGTACGACATGTACTTGGACACGGGAATGCTATCCACGGGAAAGTCCTTGAGGAAGTACCTCATCAGACCGCGAATGGAGCGTCGGATGGCTCCGGGCCGCCAACCAGGCTTGGAGGCCAGTGGATGGGCAGTCCACAACCATCCCATGTGGCCAGGTACTTTCTTGATTTCATCTAGGCAATCCTTCTTTACCTTCGCTCCCTCCCGAGGGCGGTACATGGAGTAGTACTTGGACTTGTAGGGTCGCTTGGCCTTCAGGCGACGCTTCTTCGGCTTCGGGGGCATTCCACAATCATCTGCTGGGGCATCTGCTTTTCCTCCCTTATTCCTATCCGGAGATGCACACCGATTCTTGCCCTTCTTCGTAGACTTGGCGAGGTTACATGCCTCCGTGCAGATATCCTGAATCTTCTGCTTCTCATCGGGGACTTTAACCTGGAAGAGGTCTCTTAGCTCCGCGAATACCTTGGCCAAATCTTGGGTCTTGGTTTCACCTTCTTGACCAGGCAAGTTTTTTGAGACCGCTTCGACTTCCTTGGTGTGGGAGGTTTCCTTAATGCTGCGTCTCAGGACCTGGTAATCCCTCACTATAGCCTCAAAGGCTTCCGAGGTGCGTTTGAGATCTCCATGCTCTCCACTCCCCGAACATCCCTCGACCGATCCCAGGTCAAAACTGATATCCTCCACGGGATTTTCCAGATGATCCAGGAGGATCTGTTGGGCAGTGGCCTCCTCGTCATAGGGTCGCTCTTTGAACTCCGGCACGGGCTTGTAGCCACAGCTGGGGCAGGCCGCCACCTTGGGCAGCCAGGAGACATCCTCGCCACAAAGGACGCAGGATCGGGTGTTACCGATGTGCATCTGCCGGAGCTTTGGGGAGGAATACTTTTGGCACAACCGGTTTGTGGATCCTTCACCCAGAAGGTTTCTTTGGCAGGAGGAGAACTGGGTGGCAGGACCCGCCGGGGGCTCAAAGGTCACGCAACCGTCGTCCACATTGGGGCAGGAGTAGACGGGATAGGGGCCCGCCATATCAATTAGCCGAGGAGGTGGACTCTAATGGTATGCTTTTAGAGGTAATCAGAGGTTACTGGGATTTCTTTTACCTGACATTCGCACAACTTCTGTTCTTCATCTTCGCTGCAGTATTGGGGCTCAATGGGTTCATCCATGTCGCTGGGCATGAAGCCGACACAGGGATCGATAGAAGAGGAGGACATGAAAGAGGCGTCCTGGGGGTCCACATTCATGTCCATGCAGCTGGTTGCATTTTGATTGCCCGTCGAGCCACACCCCCTATCTTGTCCGCCCGCCAAACGTCCGACCGCAACTCTATTGAAGTTCAGGTGCTATCGCATTCAGGCGGCTCGAGGATCAGGTCCTTGGTGGCGTTACTTACTCTTTGATGGTCTGGCAGCTCATCTTCATGGAGAAGCGGATGTTCACCAGGCCGACGGTGCATCCTTTGCAGGTCAGTTCCACATTGGCATCGTGCACTATCTCGTCGAATTCGTTTACCATGCGGTGAACCACCGCTGCAGGTGGAAAGTAGCAGCCGCGCGCTGGACAGGATTACAGGAAGGATAAGTAAAAGTATAGAAAGACCGGCCATCACTCACCGATCTCCTTGCGCATGTAGACCACGGAAATTGTAATGCCCTCGGCCAGCTGCCTCTGCAGGCACTCGGCCTCTGCCTGAAAGGTCTTATTAGGATTCACAGGAAGGCAGTTGACATTGATACTAGTGGCGTCCAGGCAAATCTTGCATCCGCGGCACACATTGGCCTTGACCTGCAGCTTGTCCCGGCACTCGAAATCCCTACCAGGCATGTCAAGCCTTTGGACGATCATTTTGGCGGCAAAGCAGCGCATGTATTCCCTGTTGGGCTTGCCCTTCTGACCGGGACCCGGGCACCGGGCCTCATAGACCTCTTCCCGATTGCGAACTGGGCAAGAGGAGCAGCAGCAGGCGCCCTTAGCCTTCTTGTCTTTCTCCTGTCCTTTGCCTTTGTCCTGGTTCTTGCCCTTCTCCTGATAAGTGGAGCAGTGCATGTATTCAGCCTTGCTGGCCGCCATTCGGGTGCTGATCAGTCCGCGGTTCTTGTAGTAGCTGTCCCAGTCTATCAGATCCTCCACCGGCTTCTCCTTCTTCTCCACCGGTGGCGGCTTGCACTCAGAGTTCTCCATCCTGTCTGGCAATCAACTGAGATTGTCCACGAGTCTAAAATTTCCTTGCACAAATAATTTTAAAAAGCACACGAGCAATGCCACGAGAATTCACATAAAAATCTACAATTTATTTAGGACCTGTGCCTGAAGCGATCGACCTGAACTATCAATAGAGAATGAGTTCGGTTGCCACATTGGCCTAGGAAGTTAGGGAGAAGCCAAAGTCACGGCTTGCTGAGTTTGTTTAACATTTTAAGTGAGTCAGAGGGGTGAAAAGGTTTTATCTTGAATCTTAAGTCTTAAATCTTAACTCGAAACATTTCTGAAATTTGTATTACCTTAAAATTTATGTTCTTTTCCATAGAACATGATTCCTTCTTTGTAGGTAACCCCAAATCTCGTAACCAAGAATATTGTTATGTAAAATTTTATAGAAAAAATCATTTAAATTAGGAATACTAGCTTTATTTAAAAGCCGAAACAGTCATTTTGAGTTTAAAAGAGGATCGATTCGTTATCAATACATTTGCATTCTGCCCGGGGAATTCGACCTGTGCCAAGGTCTATTCAGAGGGGTGGGGTCGAAGAGACGGGGATCATCAAAGCCTCCGACATTGCGGAATGGCAGCTGCTTGCGGGGTTTCTTCTTGGGCGGATTCTTCATACGAGGCTTCGGTGGAGGGGCATGGATATCGCCCTTTCCGTGGAGCCAGCCGAACTTCTTCTTACGCTCGCCCATCACACATCCTCCGTATTGGACCATGAAGTTGGCTGGATGAGGATACATCGAGGGTGCGGCCCAGTCCTGGTCCATGTACTGGGTCTCCACATTAGCCCTGTCCGGTCGCACCTTCCGCTCGGGCTTTATGACCCCAGCCGGGGGAGTGACTCCAAACTCGTACTCCCGATCACTGTCATCGTCATCGCTGTCCAGGGAGTACACGAAGGTATCGGAGTTATCTGGCCAACCCCGTTGGCGACATTCGTTTTCCACTTCGTACTGGATGCGCTTCTTCTCAACGTGGCTCCGGCAAAAGCAACTGGCCACTGGGCGACGACAAGTGCACGGGGCAAATCCCTTGTCCTGCAGGTTCCCTTTCATCTGGCGGAGCCCCACTGCAATGGGATCCTTGGTGATGCGGAAGACTACAGGCTTCATGGCCGCATAGGGGTTGGCACTAGAGGCCAGGGTCTTGGGATCTTTCAAAGGGCGCAGCGTTATGATGTACTCATCACCCTTGCGACTTATGTGCAGGGTGGGATGTTGCACCAACGGCTCCTCCACCTCATCCTTGTGGCACCTCCTGCGGCGGTAGTGGTAACGCGACAGGCAAATATTATCCGCAGGATAATCTCTCAGGAAGTAGGCCATCAATTGCCGGATGGGCCGGGCAATAGCTCCAGGACGCCAGGACTTGTGGCGCGCCATCTCGCTCTTGGTCCACATCCAACCCATATGGCTGGGCACCTTGCAATAGCCAGTATAGTTGCTGTCCGAGATGCAGTCCACATGACCTATGCGAGGATCTTTTTGCTTCCTCTGAATCTTCAAGAAGGTATAGCTGTGGAGAAATAAGGTTACTTTCTCTATATTGTAAATAAATTTCTTTAACAAACCATCGGGACTTCTTGCGGTGAATACCCTTGCTCTTAGACCTGACTTTGGGTGGCTTGGGATAGGCCTTGTCGATCTCGTCCAGAGCCTTTTGCAGTGACTTCCTAGCCTTTCTGCGGGCCTTGGCTGACTTGCTATTCCGGCAGGCTGCATCACATTCCTTCCTCAGCTGCTGGGCCGCTGCTTCAGCCTCATCGGCGCCCTTCTTCTTGCTGTACATATTACGCATCTCCGTGAAGATGGAGATCAGTTGAGTGCGACGCTGTGAGACATCGGAGTTGGTTTTCTTAAGCTGATTTTGTTGCAAGGGTTCGGTTGCAGCTCCTGGCTGAGCCTGTGGCAGCGTGACAGGCTGCGCCTTATTCTCGTGTTCATTGAAGAAGTTATCACACAGCTTGCGGATGCGACATCGAGTGCAGGGCTTGCCGCCCAGGCAGCCACATGGCTTGCTCACATTGGGATCATCGTCGAGCTGGCTTTTCTTAATTCTATCTCCCATCGCCTCGTCATCCTCATCCTGAGAGGGGCCCAGTTCGCAGGACTCCTTGCGCAGAGAGTCCCTGAGCAGCTGCTGTGCCGTTGCCGTGAGATCGTAGGGCTCCTCGCTGGGATGTATATCCTCGAAGGTTTTGTAGCCACAGTAAGGACAAGCCGAGATTTTTGGCAGCCAACTTATGTCCGAACGGCAGAGCTGGCAAAGATGCGGTGGCTTGTAGGGTTGTTCCTTCAGTTCAGGTGCAAAAGCCGGACACGAGCCCAAACACTTGCGACGAGCAGCTTGCTCCCGGGAGGTGGTCAAGGACACCGCCTTCCGCTTCTTATGAGGCTTATCCGGTTGGAACTCATTGATGTCACAGGAGGAAGTGTCCGAGGTGGAGTTTGGCGGCTTGCACTTACAGTGCCATCGACGGGACTTATCATGTGAGCCTGGCGGAGTCGGCACTTTGATTTTGTCCAGACCCAGTTCATCTATGAGCTTTTTGAGAGCAGCCTTTTCCCTCTTCTTCGCCGTCTCGTCATCCTGGGGCACCTGCATGCCCTTTAAGAAGCAACGGCATCCTGCGGTTGCCCCACCTACGTTGCCCTGGGGCTCCTGATTCTGGCTCGCCACATGCGGACATTGGAAGGGCGCTCCAGCATGCGACATCAGACGCTCATCCGTGATGCAGGAGTTCGTTGCACATTTTTCGGAGCGTCCCAGGGTGAAGATAATATCCTTTTTGTTAATCGAGTTGTCCACAGGCTTGCACACGTCATAGCAGCCAAAAGGAATCATGCTTTGGCTGAGAATAAAGTACACAAAGGGAACTTTAGTAACCATACTTTTAAGCCAACTTGGTTCCAACTACTCACTTCACATCCGGACAAGTACAGCTAATCTTAAAGAGCAGATCCACTACACCAACTTTATACTTTCCACTCATCAGCTCCACCGTAACTTTCTGGGTAACCGAAAAAGTGGCTTCTGTCAGCTGCCGCAGGATCGAGGAGGTAAGCTTGGCAGTGCCCGTTCCTTTTACCTCGTCGGCCTCTTTGAGAGTCACACTGATGCCCCTTGAGGTCAGCGATCCTATTAACTCACAGGGACTGGCCATGAAGGTAGACAACGGCTCTTGTGGAAACTCATCCACCATAATGCGTTCCATAGTCAGCTCCTCGAAGTCCTCATATAACCGAACTGAGTAGACGGGGCTTCCGCCGGCAGACGAAATTCCGGACGGTCGGCCTATTGGCAAAGAGGAGTTCACCAGGATGACGTTGAACACGTAGGCTTGCGCCATGTTGAGAAACTATGGTTAAAACCGAGTTAGGAATTTTATTTACTATCTACTGATTTGGCTAAAACGCGTTAATTTTTAAAAACATAAAAAACTCTAGCCTGAATAAAATCGATGTGTACGGAAATGGGTATTGTAAGAAATGTGATAAAGAACGATGAACTTCGAACTTGACGGATAGGAAATTTGTCAAAGGTCACTGGGATAATACAAAATATATAAGATGGAGGATTGAATGTCTTCAGTTAACATCTGCCAGATAGAAAGAATATCGCTTATGTACAAAAACAATCTAACTAAGTTGAAAGAATATCAGGTATGTCCAGAGACACCTTAAGATACAATATAGATCACCATTTGTCTGTGGTATTGCCACTTATTCTGCCAAAAACTACAATGGTATATTGTCCCTATAGATATAAGAAAATAATAAAATGTCTTAAAAGTAGAAGTGGAATATCTCTGTACCGAGGTGGTATTCATGGGAATACCTGGAGCAACAATTAGACGACCTATCTCGCCTTTGTTAAAAAGTTGATAATCTCAAGATGAGCTGATGTCAAAAAGGGAATGCCAATGAAAAACCAACTTATGCACAATCCACAACTTCTCTACAATCTAGAATCTAGGAATCTAAAAACAACTAGATTAGTTATGAACTCTAGCCGCTGCTTTCTTTCCTTATCTCAAATTATAATAAGCTACATGATAATAGGTATATAATTTTTCATCTAAAATATTCATCAAAACATTATTACATAAACAATATGTTGTTATTATATATTTCATTGGAAAGTTTCTTGATGTCACCATAACTGAAGTGGTTATTATGTATTTCGCTCGCTATTAAACGTTGATATTAAGCGATCTTATCACGTACTAAGTTTGCCGGTTTAAGGTCCACAGAGGTGACACATATATGTATGTAGAACATTCCCCACCTTGTCGCCAAATCGTTTGCTCTAAAAATAGCAGAAGCATAAACACTCTTGCGGAAAGTAAAACACGCGTATCTGATATATGAGTAAATGAGTAGCGCATAATTATTGCCAGAATAATTTAAGATTTACACAATGGACTATACGTTTAACAACAGGGATGTGTGTAGCATGTGTCGCAAGGTAACTATGGATTTGGAACTGCACTGGTGGTGACAACAACTAGGTGTGTGCGTAATGCGTTTGCGGTCTGGAGCCTGGAGTCCTCTCCCCCAGGTCCTTTTCCGCGGGCAGCTCACTAGCCGAAAATGATCGGATTTTGGGAGATCGGCCTGCTTATTGCCTGGCGTTGATGATGTCCACGAACTCGGGCTTCAGGGAGGCACCTCCGACCAGGAAGCCATCGATGTCGGGTTTCTTGGCCAGCTCCTTGGCGTTGGCAGCGGTCACGGAGCCACCGTACTGGATGCGCAGGGCGGCGGAGACCTCCTTGGAGACGTTGTCGCTCAGCCATTGACGCAGGAAAGCGTGAACCTCCTGGGCCTGCAAAGTAGACGTTACGGAAATTAGTTCTGCAATGGCTTAGAATCAAAAGGAGGACTCACCTGATCGGGAGTGGCGGTTTTGCCGGTGCCGATGGCCCAGACGGGCTCGTAGGCCACCACAACGTTCTTCCAGTCCTTGATCTTCTGGGCATAGGCGCACATCTGGCGAGCCACAACCTCGTTGGTCTTGCCAGCCTCACGCTCCTCCAGGGTCTCACCAATGCAGGCGATGACCTTGAGGCCCTCGGCCAGGGCGTGCTCAGCCTTTTCGGCAATCAGAGCATCCGACTCGTTGAAGATGGCGCGGCGCTCCGAGTGACCCAGGATCACCCAGTCGGCACCGATGTCCTTGAGCATAGCCGGCGAGATCTCGCCGGTGAAGGCGCCCTTGGCCACCTTGTAGGCATTCTGGCCGGCCAATCCCAGTTCGCAGGGCAGCAGGTTGCGGGCGTACATCAGGTAGATGGCCGGGCAACCGATGACCACCTCGGTGTTGGGGTCAAGGGCGGCCGAGCTCAAGGTTTTGGCGATCTCGGCGATGGACTTCTGGTCGCCGTTCATCTTCCAGTTTCCTCCCACGCAGAATTTTCGGCCGCTCATGTTGTTGCTGTCTTCGGTGCAGTCGGTGCTAAAATTGGCGTAGAACTACGGGTCGAGGGATAAAATAGTACGGGAGAGTTAGTCGAGTGTTTGGAACTGATAATTTCAAGTGGGGAATTCGATGACTGGAGGCTCGCCGCAAACTTTTCCTTTCAGTTTTCTTTCAATTTCGAGATTAATCCCGGCACACACCCACCTCGAAGTTCGTCTGCTGATATACTAACCTTCTTTTGACCTTCGTATGTCTTCCACTGGCACTTGAAAAGCTTTGGAAAAACAGCTGTGAATTTGCCGAGAAGAGCTTGCGAAATGACGGCCTTTAGTACATCCGCCGTAACACCACCCACTGTGGGCTGGTTGTGGTTGTGGTCCATGATGAGGAGGCGTCTATGATGATTTTGGCGGTTCTGGAGAAGCGGTACAAAGGGAATGCTCTGAATTGTTTTGCTGTACACCTTGTGGCTGACTTTCAAATGCATATCAACAATTTCTCCAAAGAACATCCACAAATTTATGCCTTTGTCAAAGGTAATAAAATTGAATTTTGAACGTTATATTACCAGCATGCTGGCATTTTCAAAATTTTTACGGTTTCCGACTTAGCATGGTTTTAAACCATTCAACTGGGGAGTTGCTTTGGCGTCGTCTCCGAAAAGCTTTAGCAAAGCTTAGCCCCATTTACTTCCTAAAAATACCCTAAATAACGGAACACTTTTATACCCTACACTAAGGTATAGTGGAGTATGGAGTCAAACATTTTAATGATCATTTTCAGAAATAAACAAAAAATATCAGACCTCTTAGGTAAATTCTTATTTAATCGCTTTATTTAACTTCAACTTTGAAATTCATGTCGCATGGCTTGGTTTTCACAGACGTTCAGGTATACATAAGCAGACATATACACATTAAAATACTCTAACAACATTAAACATATGTACATAATTAACTAGTCCATAGAAACGTATTTGACCATACACTCAAAATAAATGCGCGTAGCTCCTAGTCTCGATACTACCCAATTAATTGATCTAGATCCGATATAGAATTTGACAACGTTTGACTTAGTCAGAGAGCGAAAGAGAGAGAGAGAGAGAGCTGGGAAGTACTTAACATAAAAGCTTTGACTTGCGAGTATTTCCTCAGGGGTGGCCCTTCACCCCTTCTATATCCTTCTGATCCCCCTTCTGTGGACTAACCTGCTGACCCTGCTCCTCTTCCTCCAAGGAAGGTCAACTTTCTGCACTGGCCGCCAGAAGAGATGGCGAGGAAGTGGTTAGACCCACTGGAACCGATCCCTCCTGGACCTGGACCATGGGAGGTGGTGATGGTGTCGGCGTGGAGGCCGAGGACGAGGCCGTCGATGAGGTGGGACGGGCGGCATGAGGCTGGAGGAAGTGGAACAGGTTGGAATGCTGCATGAAACTGCCCACGGACCTCAACGGACTGAAGAAGTTCTCTGTGGGATGGTTGAGTGGCTGCTGTTGGTGCGGGGAGGAGTCCTGATCCCTGCTGAGATTGCTGCCGTGGTCCTCGTGAACCCCTCGACCCTTGGCAATGGAATTGCAGTTGCAGGACCTGCTCTTCTTAAGAGAACTCCTGGTCATGGCCGTCCCCTTACGGTACTTGGGCTTGTGTCCGTTTGAGCCTGGACTCGCCTCACTATCAATCACAAAGACACCGGACTCTTTGGGAGCAGGACTTGCCGTTGATCCCGGTAGGCAGTGAGCGCTGTTAGAGTTGCCAGCGAATAGCTTGGCCCTCAGAAGAGCTGGAAGTGGCCCATTGGTTGGGGAGGTCTGTATGGACAGAGGTCTATCCCTGGGATCCCCATCTATGGGAAGTTCCTGATTGTTACCCATTGGCCTGGAGTCCGTGTCATCGGATCGCAGCTTCTCCCTCATGACCAAGGCCAGAGAGCGACGAAGTTCCACAGGATCTATGCCTGGCTGTGGTGGATTGGGAACTGAGCTGGCTGGCACAAAAACATCCTCAAACTCCAGCTCATCATCATCCTCGTCTTCATCCTGGCTGAAACTGTAGTTGTGGTTGTCATACGAGGCGGACGGAAGTGAAGGTTTTGCGGGTGGAGGAGGAGCAGGTGGAACCGTAGAGCTGCTGTTCCGCTCGCTGCTTCTCTGAGAAGCCGGAGCCGGTGAGGGAAACTCGTAGCTTGTTTCACCCAACTCTGCGCCACTGGAGGCCTCTACTATATTCCACATTTCCCTCTCGATTTCTGTGGTAACCGAAGCCACAGCAGCTACAGTTTGGTTGATATTGTTGAAACAAGGAGAAACCACTCCGCACTTGGGCAAAAGCTGGGAGTTCTTCAAGGCCTCCTGCTGCTGCCTCAGCCAAATGGGTGAATCTGTGGGAAAAAGATCGAGAGTTATAGAGGCTTTGCAACGGATTCAGGAAGATAACGCGCACTCACACTCACCCACATAGAGGCGCGGCTGCGTGGAGCGCATATTGGAGTCCATGGACTGAAGGCGATGCTGACTGGCCACCGAGAACCGATGGATGGCCTCCGCCTGCTGGTCGATGTCCACGCCCATCATCTTCAGTAGTAAATTCTTCAAGGCAGCCCGAAAGTCCTTTAGGTGATAGGCGTACAGGACGGGGTTAACAGCCGAGTTCAGATGGGAAAGGATAATGCAAAAGAGCGTGAGCTTGGGGTGCACATAGCAGTCGGGACAGAAGGCTTTGATGCAGTTGATCGTGTACAGCGGTATCCAGCAGATCATGAAGAACAGCACGATAATGGATAGGTTTTGGGTGGCTTTGACATCCCGCTTCCGTGCAGCTCCCAGGACCCGCAGCATCGTTCCCGTATGTCCACCTCTTCCGGGTGTCGTCACCTGCACCACTGCCGCCGATGATCGGCGACTGAGATCGGAGGCGGGGTTCATCGTTACGATCTGACGGACCTGCCATTAAGGTATTAAAGTTATAGTTCTTTTAAGGATTAGCTCGACTCACCTGTTTGATGATGACGCGATAGATGTGCGTGTAAAAGCCCAGCATGAGCAGGGCCGGAGTGATAATTGTGGCAAAGTAGAGGAAGACGAGGTAGTTGTAGTCCATGACCTCAACGAAGAGGCACTCCTGGTTGTTGTTGACGTCTGCGTGCCAGCCAAAAAGGGGCAGGAAGCCCACTATCGTTCCGGCCACCCAGCACATCGAGATGATGACTGCAATGGACAAGGGTTTATCAGAGGGCCAACGAACCGAAGCCATTGAGGAGGAGGCTTTCACAGACGTCATACGAGAAGATTGTAGCAATCGCCCGAAGGCAGCACTTGGCGTTGCCCTGTCTTTTTCTCCACAGAAATGTACGAGTATATTAACTTTTATCGAAGTGCGGGAAACTAAACTGGCAAGGAGGGTGACTCAAATAGTGTGCTCCTTAATCACCCATCTTGTGGAACTGCAGTGGAGTTAGCCACATCCCATTCAAATCAACAAACTATATTGCTTCACTGCTTCTGTTGCACAAAAGTCAATGAAATAGTGCACTATCTTGAGCGGTCATTGTGCTTGATATAGCATAGCTCCTCTATCGACCTCAGCTCTCAGAGTAACGGATATATATATAAATATAAACATAGTTTAAGGCGATAATTTCTGATCTGAATTGCTATTATACGTATATTTTAAAAAAGGAAAATGTCTTTTGAAATTTCCGAACTCAGTTAACAGTTCTTCTTTTCTACCGAAATGGTTTGTACTTTAGTTTACTGTTTAATGTTAAGAACTTTTGTTCCACTGCAGACCAGATGAGGCTGTCCTTTGTCTTGGCCAAGCCACAACTCAAACATGGTCGATGGTCGAATGAAGAACAATGTGGCGTATATTAGCCATCCAGAGTCATTAGCATCGCAGCAACAAAGGCGCAATGCAAAACAATGGCCACCTCAAAGCCGGAATTGTTTGACAATATCCTGGCAAAGGGGTGAAGGAAGGAGCTTTGACAAGCGAATTCTTATTTTTGAAAAAAACTTTTACATATTTTGACGACTGCGGATTATACCTGGACCCTAATAATCACCAGGTTTACCCCCAAAAGTACTTACAAATTGCTGTGCGGGTGCGGACATTCCGTGAGTAGGCCATTGGGTATAGAATGGCCCAGTATCGATCCACGGAGACAGCCACCAGGCAAAATATGGAGATGGTGCATAGTACCACAAGCAGGGAGACGGTGAAGAGGCAGGCATGAAGATTTCTCGGTAATCCTATAGAGGCCAAGATGGCGAAGGGTATACCCAAGCTACCCACCAGTAGATCGGCCATGGCCAGCGATACTATATAGTAGTTGGTGCGGCGTCGCAGCTTTCGTTCTCGGCGGAAGACGATGATCACCAAGACATTGCCGATGATGCTGACAATGGCCACCAGAACTTCAAAGACGGTGTAAGGGATGTTCAGCTCAGAGCTGGGACTGTCTGAATCCTTGGCATCCCTACTCGTGGTGGCCGCGTGCAACGGGAGCAGGGGTCCCTCGAAGGAGAAATCGGTGATCGAAAAATAGCGATAGGCAGACATTTTGGGCGGTATATGTGGGGATTCCCTTTCCCGATCGAGTATTTAAGGCTACTATCAAGCTAATGGAGGGCGGAACAGGTGTGGGCTTCAATTACAGTGTCCGCTGGCGTGTGAATTCCTTAATTGACTCGAGGTGGCCGTGGCAGTAGCAGCGATAGTAATAGCACATGCTGCGCATTGCGTATACGCCATGCCCGCCGCCCTGCGGTTGCTCCTTTTCCCGTTTTTCCCGCCTCTCTTTTGCTGTTACTTTTGCCCTCTCTTTTCCTTTCCGTTGATGTATTTGTTTTTCTGCTGTCGACGTTCTCTATTCAGCTGGAAAAAAAGGAAAAGTTAATCATCGTTCGGCACGTTTGTTACACACACGCAGCAACTTAATTGTAGCAATTTTTTAGTGTAATAAATTGATAAATATTTGCCAAAAAATATATGTCGATATCGATAACGCGAGCGGCGAGCAAAACAACAAAAGGAAACAAAGCCGGCGCCCCAACTATGAAATACCCTGGATAATCAGATAGCACTCGAGTCTATTATTCGAAAGGGGCCATCCATTTCAGGACTTCCTCCAAGTGCGCTCAAGGATTACATTGAAAAATGTTGAAACTTCGATGGCTTTTATGATGATGGTGGCTTCGTTTATGGGCTATCTATCCCCACAACTCTGCGAGTACACAGGGCTATCTGATTCGTGTGCTGCAAATACAAAGCTCGAAAGGCAAACAGCTCTCCACCAGCAACAAAATCAATTGCCAGACAATCGAACATGGGGCTGGGGGACATAATAAAAATGTATGAACAAGAGCGAAGCACGAGAACAGCACAGAAACAGACGTTCCATAAATAAAAGAGCATCCTACACGTAAAGAAAATATGTGTAGATATGGCTTAGTCATAGCTTAAAAGGAATCTTCATAATGTGGCCAGATAAGGAAGTTCTGAAAACAAAATAACAAGATTTGTATTGCCTAATCACAATCTAGAACACATTCTTAAGAGTAGTTCATCATTTTGATATTAGTGGTAGGCATTACTCAGAATAAGAACTAAAAAACAGACTAATTTTGAAAACAATTGCATTTTTTATTTATAAAAACAGAAGTTAAGAATTTTTGTTGTGGTATTAATAATTATTTTTCTGATTACTTCTATAAAGTTAAATCATGAATCAGCAATCACTCTTCCAAGCTTTGATTTAGCTTTTTGTAAAAGTATTAAGAGGCTTACTGGCAAGAGCAATTTTTCTGGGTACACTTTCTATATCTCCGTTAGGATTTCCGGGATTTGTCCTGCAGGAAGTCGTGGTGCGATATCAAAAAGCGTGAGAGCGGTTGGCTTAATTCGCGTGGTTACCAACCGGAAGCCGTCACTCAGTAGCAGAGACCGGAATGGGAAAGGATGGATAGGGGAACTAGAGGGCTGACTGCTCCATCGAGTGTTTTGGCGGCGAGAGTGCATCCATCAAAGGCCACGACAACAATTCGCGGGACATGAAAACGTTTTCCATTTAATTGGCCCACCTTCCTACCATCGCCGCCGCCACCACCTTGCGATTCATCAAGTGAAAAGTGGAAAAGTGGAAAGTGAAAGCCAGCGAGGATGGAGGTGGTTATTGTACTTCATCAACGCAGAGCACTTAGAGCCGGGCACTAAAGCCCGGGGAAAGGGCTTGTCGAATTAACGCCGTTATTTAGCCAGCCCTTATGGGAGACACCCACTTATTGCCCAACTTATTGGCTAAGGAATTTATGCTGGCACTCTGGCGGAGTGGAGATCGGAGGTTAGGACTAAGGGGTAAGGGCTAAAGAACTCCCGACGGACCCTGTTCGCGTGCTGAGTCGCGGGTTTCTGGGTTTCTGGTCGATTCGCTTAATTGCCTTTTGCCTAATTAATTCAATCGCGAGGGGCAGCAACAGGCAGCGACATTTGCATTTACACCGCCACCAGCATTCCCAATCCATTCCCGTTTCAGTTAAAAACTCAATCAACAAATGGCACTACGATTGCCCGATTTAATTAATTTGGCAAACGCAATTAGCGATCTTGGCCATGGACTGCGTGATGCCAATACGAAAGAGTCGCCCCCGAAGACGGGCTTCAGGTCAGCGCACCTGACACCTCGCAACTTAATCGGTACACAGTGAGAAATTTGGATATATATTCAGACATTTATATAGAATTAAGGGTGTGTTGTTGCTCTTCAAAGTATATTTCAAATTCAAATCGAAAACTATTTAGCTGAGTTCAACTTTTAATCAAACTTACAAAGTAGAAGTTAATGATTATTTCTTCCAGTTTACCTATGATTTGTTTGAATTCATTTGATGAATTCATTTGATGAATTCATTATGACACGCCGCGAATGACAAGCCATAGCTCAATCACGAGCTGCGACTGAAGCTCTAACGCGTTCATAATTTGAATCGGTCTCTAGGACAAGTTTATGGTATGCCTGGTTGGTGGGCGTACGTGACTGGGAATCTGAATCTTTAGTGGATAGCAGTGCTCCAGTTCAAGGCATTCCCGCTCCTTGGTAGATCGCATAACATAACTCATATGCCCCGGGGTTCCTCGCCCCTTCTAACAAGTGTTCAAACTTTTCGCGCATTTGTCAGGCTCATAAAAGGGTGGCCAATGGGATGGGTGGGCACCCAGGGCCTTGCTCTGCCTAATCCCAGCTGCCTCCATATCCCAAATGTAAGTGCAGGGGCTGTCAAAATCAGTTGGCATTAAGTTTATTACCATGTCGCCATCGAATTGGCCACATTCTTGGCCTTGGCAGCGGAATAACAGCCAGAAAAGTGTTTCCAGCTCGCTGCATCCGCAGTGCACACTTGCGCTTTTCTTTTGGCACTGAGAAAAACTCTATTTAAAACCTTTTAAATTATGAAATTAGATTTCTCAATATAAGTTATCCATTTCACATAAAGAACGGGCTAATTATTGTTTTGAATAGAACTTTCCTACATAAAAAACTTTAACTTAGAAATAATTTCAATATTTTCGCTCAGTGTGATTGCTATTTGAACTGGCTGGCAGCAGATAAAGTGCGTTTCTATTACAAGACGCTATCTGCGGGAGGGTGCTGAAAAATGACGGTGGTGATAAGGATGGAAGAACCAAGGAGCAATAGCCAAGGACTCTTCACGCTAGAAGTTGAGTTGCCGATAGCTGTGAACTTGCAGTAAACACGTTCTCCATCTGCTGGCTCGGATTCAAATGTATCTGGAATGAGGAGAAACCGAATCTTCCTGCGGCTGCTTGAACCTCAAGTTTGCTCTTCATTTTTCCGTATTTTATATTTTCCCCGGGCCATTTGTCTTCGTTGCGTTTTTTGTGCCCGGTCATCCTGCGTCGCTTCACACGTTTAATTACGGCAAAACGAGTAGCTGCAGCTGGAAAGCCCCTATAGCCCCCGATATAGCCACCCACTCCGCTCTACCCACCATGATGCGCAATTTTTTGTGCTTTGGATAGCTGGCAAATTAATTGGGGAAAAGTTCTTCTTGCTGGCCCAGGCTGATTGCACTTTGCATAGTTCCTTGTGTAATTGCGAATCCTTCTAAATGGAGTGAAACACATACATCAGGCCAATCGACTCGAAGTGCAATATAGATTCCGGATCTAACCGGTTATGAACGAAAGCGTAGTGCTAAATATATATTGGATATCTCCAGTGGCTGGGAATGAAACCATAAATAGCTCAAATCTTCACACGTCACAGGTGGCTTATCGGCTAGTCATCATTGGCAATATCATTGGGATTGGCCGACTCGATTGCTCGATTGCCTGATTCCGGCCGGGATTGCATTGATCAAGTGGTTGCACGTTGGCATCACGTGCAGTCGCCGAACTTGCACTGGAATATTGGATATCGGAAATGGGAGTAAGGGATCTTTGGAGAGGGACTCTTGCCGGATTCCCCGACAATTCTCGTTTTTCAGAATAATTGTTACACCCTCCGCGCGGATGCCTCCATTGTCTCCGGGGAACAAGTGACGAGTTTCCCATGTCAGGGTGCTGGCATGTTGATAGATAACTACATAGTAAGAGGGGTCTGGTCTGGCAGATAAATACGACGGGCCAGCAAAAGTCCCAGGGTGAATAATCGCCCGTCAGTACGGGTCACAGTGGATCGGTAAAGGTCAGAAAAGTACTCGAAAGGGTTCTTCATCAAAATTGTAACATTAAAAGGAAAGTCTGCTGCTGTATATGCTCCTAAATACTTTGAAAAAGTAGAAAGTTTTTCTATATGTTTGGTTATAAGAACTATTAAGTAGTACAGCTTAACCCACTGTTCGGGAAATAGGAGAAGGTGGGCAGTCGACTCCCGATTCCCAATACGACAGTTGACAATCGGGAATCGGCAATCGGCCTAGGAGTTATATGGCGGGGAGACACGAGTAAAGTCCGGCGGCTACCGCATTGCCAAGTGACAATCGCACTAGCAATACCAATCACAATCCCAATGACAGTCACAGTGACAGTGATGGCGATAGTGATAGTGACACCTCCGCCTGCAGTCTCACCGAAACCCAGAACCCAGAACCCGTGGCCTTTTGTCCTGAGGTGAGCAATCGCTAACGAAGCAGCTACAACTGCGAGATCAGCTTTTCGGGGCGCTTATCTAGCTTTTTCGGGCGGTGTAAACATGTGAGTAAATTGTACGTAATTAAATGTTATGAGTTTGTTATCTGCGTGCCTTGTTTTCGAGGCGCTTTTCGGACTTTCAGGTCCCAGGCTGTCTCCCAATTATTTGGCATCCGTATGTGGGACACATAGCCTCTGGGGGGCTTATTATTTTTTTTTGTGTTGGCTGGACAGTCGAATCAATCAAGCCGGAGACACAGACCTCCTGACCCAGCCGCGGTATTTCACCATACAAAGCGACGCCGTACAATGCTGCGTATGCGTAATATTTCATACGACTCGTATTCCCCAGTTGCAGCCCCTCTGCCCAACGACAGCTGCCATCTTAATTTCATTTTCTATTTCAGTGGAAACCATAAAGGAGCTCCGGCTCCACCACCCGAAAAGCCAGTCAGTCGCAGCCCCCAAGGACACCCCAGCCCTTTTCTAGCCTAGCTGGCCCATTAAGAGTCCTGTGATTGAATTCGGCTTACGCATGAAGAGTCAGAAAGATTCAGCGGCCGCATCCATCAGATTGGCCCACTCCAGTCCAAAGTTTTAAAGCAGCTTAAGACGTCCGCTGCCAAGGACAAATGTCAGCCTGCGAATCCCCGGCTTTGCATAAGTAACCCCATTCTTTAGCCTCTTTAAAGGGGTGAAAATCCTGGGCGGGGGTGAGGCAGGCT